GGGGTCCTGTCCCTCGATACTAGTTAGGCCCCAAGCCTTCCCTGCTCAGTGTCCCCACCAGATGAAGCACAAATGCCTAGGCCTTCTGCCGCAGGCCCAGCATGCCCACCCTGCCCTGTCTTTGGACTCTGTACCAGAGGCCCCACAGCCTCTTCCAGCTGGTGTGCTGGAATCCTACCTGGTATGCAGTTCCTAGCTGTCTGTTCCTCCTTGGAGGCCTGGCTCTGACAGCAGCAGAATCTGTCCTGGGAGCTTTCCGAGGGCCAGACTGGTCTCCCACAGGGACCCACATGCAGGATCGGCTCACTGAAGGTGTATGCTTGGAGAGGACCCACCACCTCTGCTCTGAGGGTCAAGGAATTGTTCTTCTGTGCATGGAACGGTCTACCTCACATGAGGCAATAGAAAACTGGGGGGACTATTTCTAGTGCTGTCATGAAGATTCCCCACCAACCCTAACCAGAACTTGAATAATAAAAGTGACAAGGGAAGTAGCAGAAGCTAATAGCAACTGCATGTAGTACTGCTGGGCACCTGTCAATGAGCTCCATAGGGGATGACTCATTTAATCCTCACAAGAGGCCTATGAAGTGGGTACTATTATCAGCAACATGTTCAGATTCAGACCCTGAGGCACAGACAAGTGACTTGGCTGTGGCCACCTAGCTAGGAAGTGGTGAAGCAGGATTCGCACCCAGATGAACTCAGAGCCACTCCTCACCTTAGTTCTTCACCTCCAGGCATGTGTTTGGTCCCTGGCCCCCAGACTATTACCAAAAGGGCCACAAACATCCAGAGGAGGTCTCACCACGTTCAGTCCCACCCAGCCTGGTGAAAAGGGAGGCAGGCTCTGAGGACTGCAAACCTTTGTAATGGGGTGCCCTGCTCAGGTCACCCAGAGGCTGGAGGCTCTAGCACACCTCTAGCAAACAGCCCTAGCCACTTCCAGCTGTAGTCCCTGTGGTTCTTCCCTGGAAAGATGTTCTGCAGGATAGAGGCCTGGAGGATCCGGAAGGGATAGCTTCCTACTAAGACACCACTCTGAAAAGGACTTCATTGTCGGGGAGGGAGGGAGCAGTGAGATGGGGGTAGGGCAAAGAAGGACAGCATGATAAGGATGGATGTCTCTGAAGCAGGAGTCAGTGTTGGGGTGGCAGAGCACAGAAGCACTTCAGGACCAGGCAGATGGTGAATAACACCTGCTGAGGAGGCAGTACTTGAGGCAATGTCCACAGGCCAAGGAGGGAGTCTGCTGAGCAGCCTGCAGGGGAAGGATGGTAGTGGTGGCCTGTCTCTAGGTCCCAGGAGAAGGTAGGGTCAGCCTGCACCAGAAAGGGAGGGGCCTGCTGTGGGCCAATTCCAAGAGGAAGGGCTGGGAGAAACCTTTTCCAACCCCTGGTGGGGACAGATTTGGCTGTGGCTAGAATACCTTGGCTAGAGCCCCAACTTCAGGAGAGGAAAGTAGGCCAGGAAGACAACTGACCATCATTCGAGGATAGCACGGCCAGAATGCAAAAACTCCACCTTGTGCAGCTCTGAGAATGGGGCATGCTTTAAGGCCTCAATGGGGGTGTCATCTGTGGAACCTAAGTTTCCTCAGGACATGTGGAGTCCATCAGAAACCCTGCTCAATTTATGGCACCCAGGGGCCCACAGACAATGTCAGTTTGCAAAGCAGGAGACTGAGTGATGTGCTTGGCATCTGGATGGGGGGTGTTTGGATTTGGTGAAGGGGCTGAATGATGTGAGGTAGGACAAGGGTACCAGAGACACACAGAGATGAGTTCACAGGGCCAGTCACAGGCTACTCTGGGGAGTCTTCACTCTTTCTTTGTGATACAAGTTGCTTGCAAACTTACTATTATGCTCCTAACTGCTAACACATAACTAAACCTTCCATGTGTACCCCTAAAACACAGTGACAGGAACTGTTTTTAATGTTATACTCCTCTGAATCCACTGAAGCTATTTTTACTATCATCTCAGACTTAATTTCCAATTTTATCCTATAAAGTTCTAATTGATTCTACTTCCCCTGATCTCTCACTTGACAAGGCTGTGAAGAACATTAGGCAGACTCTGCAGCTTCTGACAGGCTGAGGGTTTGTTTTTTTTTTTTTAAGTCTTTGCACGTTCCTTTTGTCTGTCTCCCACCACATGCCTCTTTCTCAAGGGTTAACTGGCTTTCAGGAATGTTTGGATGACATGTTCTATAGCCCACAATCCCCCAGACACTAATACCTCACTTTCCCCCTCAAACATGTTTCCGTGACTGGGTCCAATGTGCAGAGTCCCATCTGGGCCACTGTGACACGCTGCAGACGACGTGGCACAATAGGAACGGATTTTCTCAGTTAACACAGATCCCAAGGTGGGGAAAGATGCCACCACTTCAGCTCCATTTTGATTAGGACATCAAAGGCCCTTATGTCTTCGTGTGGGTCGAACCAGGGACAGCTTTCCCTTGCTGCTGCCCCTGCCCTAGCATCTCCCTCCTTCCTTGCTGGCTGTGTGTGCTCCTCCCATGGCTTTGTGCTGTGCAGGAGCTGGCATGGGAGAGGGGGGCCCACAGACTCCCAACCTAGCACAAGAGCCAAGGAGAGAAGGGGTCTGAGGAACCTAGGTTTATTTTAAGGCCAGTACAGAAATGTTCCACTGGCTTTTTGTAGTGTTTTGCATCCTGACTTGCCCCACCACCACTTCAGTACCATTCCAGCTACCCTGGGCTTCACATGTCCCCTGGATTTGTCTGTGATCCCCCCAGACTAGGTTCCCCGCCCCCCGGCTGTGACTCCTGCTGGCCACACCCCCAGTGCCAACTGCTCATTTCTCATCAGTGCACTTTGTTCTTACTGAAACTGCTGTTATAAGTCTACATTATAAGCTGTCAGACTGTAAGCCCCAGAGGGCAGGACCCATCTGCACATTCTGAGGAGGCTGTTTGTGCCACAGCTAACATTTACTGACCAGCTGCTACCTGGGGCCAGGCATAGGCCAGACACTTCACACAGATGCATCCCCCTTAATCTTCACAAGGGTGGTGCCACAGCCACCTGTACACCACAGATAAACACACAGAAGCTAGGAGGGCTGAGGGGATTTCTCGAAGAGCACTCAGAGGACAAGACTCGTGGCTGCCTGGTCTTGTCGCTCACAGCTCCCTGGCATGTCACTGCAGTGCCCACCTAGCCACCCAGAGAAGAATGGAAAGAATACAGACAGTCAGTCTTCCCTCAGATCTCTGCAGGGACCCAGTATAGGTGATTCTGGAATCCAGAGCCCTGGCCAGGGCTCAAGTGGCTCTGAGAACCAAGAAATCGGGGTTCATTGTCAAATCAGTTCTGACTCATAGTGACCCTACAGAAATGCCCCATAGGGGATCTCAAGCTCAACTGGCATAACATACTCTCAACTTGGCTGGGCCTGGTTGAGTGGCTGGGCAGCTGGATATATAGTATTCCCCATGATGAGACTGGTAATTAACTCCATGGTGGAATCTACTGTGAGCAGCTGAGTAGCTGCCTTAGGGATGTAGTCTGCTTCCTGTACATAAGGAGAAGCCTTGGGGAATGGTCTTTAGCTTATGACACGCTTGACCCTGTATGTAGCTGTGTCGTTGTTCAGCAGCCTGCCATACTCTGCCAACCTTGGGACTTCCAATGGACTTGAATTAATGGCCTGCCGTGTGGTTTAGTAACATTGGAATTGTGCCTTTTCACTTGCCAACTTTGGGCTTGTCAGTCTCAGCAGCCAACAGCTGTCTGAGTGAAGAAAAGCCTCCAGCTTCAGTGGGTCAGGAGCAGGAGGCAGAGTTAAAGCCCAAGGTTGAGGGGCTTTCACTCAGCCCCTAGAGTCTGGCACTTTGAACTCAGACTTAAAGCCTCCAAACTGTAAGAGAATGAACTCCTGTTTGTTCAAGCCATCGTATGTGTGGTATATTCCTGTCAGAGTGGCACTAGGTAACCAGAACACACACTATTCCCCAAAACTGTTCTACACCCTACTTTGGTGAGTAGTGACTGGGGTCTTAAAAGCTTGCAAATGGCCACCTAGATGCAACGATGGGTCTCTTCTCATCTAGAGCAAAGAAGAACAAAGAAAAGACACATGGAAACAATTAGGGACTAGTGGACCCTGAGAACCTCAGCCTATATGACCATGAGGCCAGAAGAACTAAATGGTGCACAGCTATCACTGTCAACCATATGGAAGGGGATCAGTGCAGGAGATCCTGGATTGATGGGAGAACAATGTGGGACAAAACTCAAAATCATTAAAAAAAAAAAAAAAGGAACAGGTTTGTGGTCTGACAAAGCCTGGTAAGACCCCCTGAGACTATGGTCCCTAGTTACCCTGAAATTCAGGGCTGGAATGGAACTCACTCCAGTGGCTTCCAGCCAAACAACAGACAGGCATATATGGTGAACATTTACACCAGGTAGATACACTCCTTGGAATGACCAATCACGGGAGAACAGAAGGGCAGTGCTTGAACAGGGAGATAGTTCAGGGGCAGGAATGCATAGGAAAGGACACAGGGAAGAGGTAACTATAGGGAGGAAGTGGGAAGATAGCTGTTACATTGTGGGGAATTGCAGTCAATGTCATGAAACAAAAGGTACAGGAACCGCTATATGGAAAATGAATTTGCTCTGTAAACTCTCACCCAAATCACAATAAAAAATTTCTTTTAAAAAAGAAACACCCTATAAGCTTTCCAAGGCTGTGTTCTTTATGGAAGCAGACTGTCATATCTTTCTCCCACAGAGCAGCTAATGGATATGAACTGCCAACTTTTCAATTAGCAGCCGAGCGCTTAACCACTGTGCCACCAGGGGTCCTTAGGATCCTGGGCCAGGCACTGTTATTTCATTAATTTGGGCTGGAAAAGAGGTCCATTATAATTATGCTTTTTAAAAATCTAGCACCTGCTGGCAAATTTCAAATGGTCTAAATGGCCAGACAAGTGCAGACCCTGGGATGACACCACTGTGGTCTACCTGGGTGAGGACGTCCAGCTGGCCCACAATGTGCTCCAGTGTGCTGGTCAGTGTCTGCGGCATGCTGACGGGCTCTGGGGGCTGGCTCTGCAGTGACTCCTGGCTCCTGCCTCTGCTGGGTGGGATGGGGAAATCCACTTCTGGCTATTTTAAAAGAGAAGAGAAGACAACCCCTTAGCTCTTATTCAATACTTGAGGAAACACTGAGTGAGGAATAGCACCCCCAAAGAATGAAATGGAAACCCAGCAGGAAAACTGAGAAAATGAGTTCCAAATGTCAGTGAGAGATGGCAATGTGGCAGTGTGCCCACACCCAGGCCTTCCTTTCTGAGCCAAGACCAAGGGTGCGTGGGAGGGACAGATAGATAGGTCAGCAGGTGCCAGCAGGGGCTCTCAGAGGCCCTCAGCCTGGCCGGGCAGTGGGACCATCTCCTGACCCTTCACGCAAACCCCACCCTCAAGGTGGCACTTTGGTGAGCCCAGAGACATGAAGCCCAACCTGGCCCTGAAGTCCCCTCTCCTCCCGGTTAGCTCAACTTCACTTCCCCATCTCCCAGCAAGGGGCTTTGCACCAAAGCCTTTCCAAGGACTCATTAGCTATGGATCTACTGGAGGTATGTTCTGACCCTGCTGGGCCCAGATTCCCTGGAAAACAAGGATTTCTGTGAATATCCTGGCCAGACAGCTGGCAAGAATCAGAAGAGTCCACAGGAAAGGCTCCCTCAGGTGGCTTCAGTCAGAACTCCAGGAATGGGAGGGGCTCAGAGTTCTTGCCAAAGGCTCTTTAGCCCTCAAATGCAGACCCCATCTCCAGGGCAGTGTGCCCCCAAGTCAGCCACCATTCCAGGCACAGATGAAGGCTCCTCCTGACCTATGAAACTCTGTGCACATGTTCAGCAGGGTGGGATCCAGAGCTACTGAGTTTCAGGTCACAGGGCCAGCAAACGTCTCAGTTCTGGTCTTAGAACCTGCAATTCCTCTGTGGACTTGCTCCTTGTGGAAATGACGTTCTCTGTGGTGGCTCACACCCTCAGCCAGCCCAAAGCCTCAGTAACCCATAAATACAGTCACACTGGGAGCTCAGGGTTTCAAACGATCTCACTAGTGGGCATTCCAAATGTCACCACGTCACCCTCCACTTTGCCAGGCCTCGAGTCCTCTCTATCACCTTTGAGAGGAAATCCAAGCCCTCTGGATAGAGAGCAAGAAACCCTAACCTGGTGCCTCTGTGCACGATCCCCCCACCTCTGCACTCTCATACATATCTCCACTGGAGATGCCCTCATCTACCTCTCCTTTCCCCACTGTGATTATTCCATCTTTCCCTCACTTCACAAACCCTCATTCCCATCAGGAGCCCCTTTCTGTGCTCCCACAGCACCTGGGCCTGCCCCATCCCTCTGGCCACTGCACTGCCAGAGCCAGCATACATGAATGGAATGAACTAATGCTGGCCTGTCCACAGAGCCGGCCCACTGCCCTTCCATGTGTGTATGTTTTTCTTCCTACCTCCTGCTTGCACGCATCACTGCCTCCCCTGTAGACCCAGGACATCACTGGTCTCAGTTTGCCAGCTACCCATATACTATGGAACCTAGGCTACGACATCTTCCCCTTCACCCCCAAAGCCAGGGCCAGTAGAGTATACTAGCTATGACTGGCCTTGGATATTAACACTCTTGGTTGCACACAGACCCACTGTCAGCACCAGTTTGCATCTCCTCTGGGTCTGCCTATCTCCTGAACTAGTCCACAGCAGTCCAGCCCTGGGAAGATGTTCTGCCTTGGACATGCTAACCTCGGTGGGCACTGGAATCTTTGAAAAGAATCAAACCCAGGAGAGGATCCCTAAGCATCAAAGGAGGAACATGAGGGAAGTCTAGCATGTCGACTCTACCTGCAAATTTCCCTTTATTAGAAAAGCATTTTAATCTCATAAGCTCTTGAGTGTACATTGATGTGATTTTAGAAAAGTGCAGGCTCTGGTGTTTACAGGGGAATAGAATTATAAGACACAAGCCAGAGGGATGTTCTTAGGATCAGGAGTAGCACCGTGTCCACATGCCCGTCATCAGCATGGTTGCTGCGGCGCCACAGCCAATTCTGTAAGACCTCAGGCAAGCAGAGTTCCAGGAATCAGTGCACTGCAGATCTCAAAGCCCACCTAAAAGTCCATCCCAAAAGGAGGTGTTTCAGAAGTCCCACCATGGCATCAGCCTAGCCAGGTTGGTCTTCACTCCACTGCAGTGGCCCCAGATTCTGGCAGTCCTGTCAGAAGACAGCAGAGTAGTGATAAAGAGCAACAGCTCACTGCTTAATGGGCTCTCAACTGGGAGTCAGACTGGCCTTGGCTGAACTCTGAGCTCTACCACCGACCAGCTAGGCAACCAGGGGAAGAGGCTTCCTCATCTGTAAAATGTGGCTGATGACTGAGCCTGTCCTTCAAGAGCTGGTGAAGGCACTTGCCTGACTTCACCACCAAGCCTTTCTTGAGACGCATTCACAGTCCTGTACCTGCTCCTTCTAAAAACTCCCTGCTTCCAGACACACATGCCCCTCTTCTGGCCACAGACCACTGGGCTCCTCCAGGAAAGGCCACTAGAGGGAAGGCCAGCCAGCCCTTCTGTCCCGACAGCCAGCATCCTCTTGGAGTGGGCCAGACGGCTGCTGCCTGCTGCCTGGGAAGGAGGGAATGGAAATTCTGAGCACATCTATAGAGCAGCCCAGAAACTGACAGTGCGGAGCTGAGCCTCTAGAAGCACAGAGAACAGTGTGTGTGTGTTTGTGTGTACTGGGGTGAGTGCCACAGACTTTAGCAACAGAAACACTCCCTCTAAGGCAACATCAAGCCAGCTCCAAGGGAGTGCTGATGATGGCAGCCAGAGTGCTCTGGGCCCGAGAGGTGGCCTCTGCAGGAGAGGCTGTAGGACCTATGCTGCTTTCCCACCTGTACTGCACTTACATGGCTGCAAGGGGTAAGCGGAAATTTCATCTTTTAACAATGGAAACCAAGGCTCAGATGGGGAGTGATGTCCAAGGGCACCCAGACTCAAGCCCCAGGCTTTGCTCTTAAGTCCAGGGTCCCTGGGCTATTTTCTGGCCACACCACTAGGCCCTGTCTCACCTTCACTAGGACACAGCCCTTACCTGACTCCCTGTCAATTCTTTTTGGCAGACAATAAGCACTTAACACATGACCATTCTAGCATGTCAGGATGACATCACTGGTGTTTACTTGCCACCATGTGCCAGGGTTCTATACATGTCATCTCATTTAATCCTTACAATGGCCCTTCACAGTAAACATTATTAACCTTATTTTTCAGACAGGAAAATACAGGATCAGAGAGGTTAAATAAATTGTCCTTAGTCACCCAGTAAACACAGAGCTCTTTCCAACATAAGAGAGCCTCCGGGAGGTGACATCTGCTGCAGTTCTGCTTCTATGTATACACAGCTCCTATCCTGCATCCTCATGGAGGCCCCCAGCTCCTGGTGTAATATTCATGGCCTCACCTCCGGCTCCCCACTTCTCCTGCCCTAGAATGCCTGCCCAGCCCAGATCTGAGCACAGAGCAAGCCCTCCTCAAACACTCGATGCCTCATAGAGCCAAGCCTGCCATGGTGAAATTCCTATGTATTCAGACCTTCCCAATGTCTGCACTGCAGCAGAGGGCCAGCAGCCCCACCCCACAGCACACAGCCACTCACCTGCATTCCAGCACTGTGGAAACGTGCCATGTCCCCGAGAGCTGGGCAAATAAGTGATAAAGCAGAGATAAGAGAAAGACAGGCAAGAGGCAAGAAGAGATGCACATAGTACATGAGTAATGATAGGAGCTGTATAAGCTGGGCAGTGTTTAAGATTTTTTATTTTTTAAAAAAAAGCACTTTGCCTTTTCAGCATCAAAGGGTAGTAGGGGCTTTGCCTGGTGGTTGGTTCTCAGTTAGGTATGTCATGAGTAGTATCAACACAAAGATCAATCCCTCTACACACAAACAGACTGACACTAGGTCAATTCTGGACTTTGCCAAATATGAATGCCTTAAAATCACAAGAAAAGAAAGCACATCTCATTATAGATGGATCTCCTTAGCTTGTGGAAATCTCATTTGGAGCCTACAGTCCCCCTCTCTCATCCCACCCTAAGTGGCCCCCTGGGCTCTCACAGAAGGTAAATGTTCTGCCTCCCTCCATTTACGTTTCCTTTGCTGCCAGCCTGGCATGAGCCACCAGAAGCCCAGCACTTCACCCACAGTAGGAATTTCATAAATATCTGTGTTTTGATACTCAGTCACTCAAACACCTGGGTACCCCACTCAGAAAATTTCATTAAAAAGCAAAGCTGACAGGTCTTCCTGGTGACAAAAAACAACTCATGTGTCTCTGGACTGACTGTGATATCACTTCTTCATCATCAAGATTCAGGTACCAGAAAAACCAATCACTAATTTTATATGGAAAGGAAAGACACCTCGAATTAGCAAAGCACTATTGAAGAAGAAGAACAAAGTAGTAGGTCTCATACTCTCAGATCTCAAAACCTACTATACAGCCGCAGTTGTCAAAACAGCCTGGTATTGGTACAATGACAGACACAAAGACCAATGGAAAAGAACTGAGAACCCAGAAATAGATCCATCGATTAGACATAGAGAGGTAGTCTCTTTCACCAGTGGTGCTAGCAAAACTGGACATCCATGTGCAGAAAACTGAAACAAGATCCACACTTCACACCATACACAAGACTTAAATGTGAAACCTAAAACTATAAAGTTTCATCAAAGAAAAAATTGGGGTAAACTTAGGGGCCCGAATTTATGGCATTAATAGACTATCAAGCATAACCCAAGATACACAAACAGCAAAAGATAAAGTAGATGACTGGGAACTTCTAAAAATTAAATTCTTATGTGCATCAAAAGACTTCTCCAAAAGAGTAAAAAGAGAACTTACAGAATGGGAAAAAATATTTGGCAATGACATAGCGAACAAAAGATTTATCTCTAAAATTTATAGGCAATTCCAACACCTCGACATCAAAAAGACAAACAATCCAGTTTAAAAAAAGGGAAGAAGATATAAACAGACATTTCACCAAAGAAGATATTCAGGCAACCAACAAACACATGCAGAAATGTTC